CGTGATTTCAAAATAAGATGACCAGAGGCAATTTGGGGCCATAAGCTGTCCTGGTGGTTTTTTGTTTTTCTTGAGACATTTGTAAAGCTTGCTTTCCTAGAAACTTTTAAGATACCACTTCTGTAAACGTTGAAATATAGGAATGGAAGCAGAATCTTGAACTATCGGTAGCCACTACAAACCTAATTCTCCATCTTCATTCTGCTTAGGGTCTATTACATTGGCCCTTATTTGTGCTAATAGTATCAAAAAGACATTGTATATTTGTAGGCATATTTGTCAAAGTGATACATTTGAAAGTAGTAGATATTGATTCTAATTACCTTGCTATTGTTAGTAGGGATTTTAATGAAGAATTAATTTTAGCCACAGCAATAAATTTACATCATTTTTATACTGTCATGTTGAATCCTCATAATGTGATATCACTGCATATCCTACCAAGACGCATGTAGAGACATTCGAATTACTAACGGAATATTCATATATGTACATATAGTCAGAGATGTTCAAGGATTTACATGAACCAAGAAATGAGGTTTCCAAATATAAAAGGGAACGTACCCAATTGCTTGCAGTTTTGCAGGCTACTTACAAGTCTTATGCAAAAGGCCTTTACAAATACCTCTTGACCCCCGTTGCATCTTTACATTTTATCTTACCCCAAAATGTACTACTACCTAAGTCCAGTGTTGGGAACATGCACCATGATGAGATGTTTGAGAAATAAAATAATTTAAATATAAATGAGATAGAGATGACTTGATCACTTTAAATGTCTCTAAATTGACCAGGATGTAATCGCAGCACAGGGGTTATAGATGCGTAAGGGCACCGCTAGCAGAAGGTAATGTGGAAGCACAATCATCACCCCACCAGTTAGAGTAACAATTTCAGCCACTCACAGGGAAGATAACTGGCAGTGAACTTCACAGCAACTCGGGACAAACGTTGTCTCCTAGTTAATCTGTACCTGATGGAAAGTACACACACCAGTGAAGACTTTTGTATGCTAGTAAGACTTTTTAATGTTCCTCTTTAATTCTTGCTAAACTGTTTGAAAGACAGTTGGTGTGGGCAGCTCTTACGTATGGTAGGTCCAAGGAGTTTGAAATAGATTATCTTTAGTTGGACTGGAACAATAAGCATGGGAGCAATATAAACTGGATTCCCTTAAAAATGTTTAATTATGAAATATTTCAAATGTGAAGAAAAATACGTAGCAGACAGCCATGTGCCCATAACCCACATTTACCAGATGTTGCTTTATATCTGCTATGGTCTGAATGTTTGTGTGCCCCCTAAATTCGTATGTTGAAATCCTAACCTCCAAAGATAATGGTATTAGGGAGTGGGGCCTTTGGGAGGGGCTTAGGTCATTACGGTGCAGCCCTCATGATGAGACTAGTGTTCTTACGAAAAAGACCCCTTGACACCATGTGAGGATATGGTGAGAAGGTACCTGCTGTGAACCAGGAAAGGGGCACTCACCAGAACTCGACATGCTGGAGATTTGATCTTGGACTTTCAGCCTCCAGAACTGTGAGAAATAAATTTCTGTTGTTTACAAGCCCTCCAATCTGTGGTATTTTGTTATAGCAGCGTGGATGGACTAAGACAATAGCTATTAAAAAAGAAAAAAAGAAACATCACAGAAACATCTAAATTGCCCCTACTGTTTCTCTCTTCCTCCTTATTTTCCCACCAGAGATGATCGCTATTCTGTGGCTGTTGTGACTCATCCCCAGGCAGGTCTTTATACTTTTTTAAACATAGGTATAAACATCAAACTAAAAAGCTTCTGCACAGCAAAGGAAACCATCAACAAAACGAAAAGACAACCTAACAATTGGGAGAAGATATTTGCAAACCATACATCTGATAAGGGCTTAATCTCCAAAATATATAAAGAACTCATGCATCTCAACAACAAAAAAACTACCAACCCGATTAAAAAATGGGCAAAAGACCTGAACAGACATTTCTCCAAAGAAGATATACAGATGGCCAACAGACACATGAAAAGCTGTTCAAAATCACTAACTATCAGGGAAATGCAAATCAAAACTACAATGAGATATCACCTCACGCCCGTCAGAATGGCTATAATTAACAAGACAGGAAACAACATGTGTTGGAGAGGATGTGGAGAGAAGGGAAGTCTCATACACTGCTGGTGGGAGTGCAAACTGGTGCAGCCACTATGGAAAACAGTATGGAGATTCCTCAAAAAATCAACGATAGAACTACCATATGATCCAGCTATTCCACTGTTGGGTATTTATCCAAAGAACTTGAAAACACCAATTTGCAAAGGTACATGCACCCCTGTGTTTATTTCAGCCTTATTCACAATAGCCAAGACTTGGAAGCAACCTAAGTGCCCATCAACGGACGAATGGATAAAGAAGCTGTGGTATATATACACAATGGGATACTACTCAGCCATAAGAAACGACGAAATCCAGCCATTTGTGACAACATGGGTGGACATTGAGGGTATAATGCAAAGTGAAATAAGTCAGAGGGAGAAGGCCAAATACCGTATGATTTCCTTCACTAAGTAGTAGATAATAACAACAATAAACAAACACATAGGGACAGAGATTGGATTGGTGGTTACCAGAGGGGAAGGGGGGAGGGAGGAGGGTGAAAGGGATAATTCGGTACATGTGTGCGGTGATGGGTTGTAATTGGTATTTTGGTGGTGAACATGATGTAGTCCATGCAGAAATGGAAGTACAATGATGTACACCTGAAATTTTTGCAATGTTATAAACCAATGTTACTGCAATAAACAAAAAATTAAAAAAAAAAAAAGTAGGTATAAAATTATAAACAATAAAAATTATTTTGGATGTTTCCCTATTTCGTATAAATGGTATACTATACGTATCCTTTTGTAACCTGCTCATTTAACTGAACTTTGTTTTTGAGATTTATCTGTTTTAATGCATGTAATTAGTTCAATCATTTAAACTTGTGTTTAGTACTCCATTGTATGGGAAAAAACCACTCTTGAATGCTGGAAATAAAATAAGTAAAAGTAAAATAAAATTTATTTTATTATTTTTAATTGCTCTAAATGATAACTGGCTACCTAAGGTAAAAATAGTAGTGATGTATCATGTGTTTATAGCATATGTAAATGTAAAAGTTATGGCAACAATAGCACAAAGGATGATGAGAGAAGGAATTAGAGATATATTGCTGCAAGAACATTACACTACATGTGAAGCAGTGTAATATTTATTTGAAAGTAAATTGATATTAGTCAAACATGTGTGTTAAACAGAATAATGGAATCTTAAGATATCCATGTCCTAATCCCTGGAATTTGTGAATATATTGCCTTAAACAGTAAAAGACACTGCAGATGTGATTAAGTCAAGGATCTTGATATGGTGAGATTATCCTGGATTATTTGGATGAGCCCAATGTCATCCAAAGTGTCCTTATAAGAAGAAAGCAGAAGGGTCAGAGTCAGAGAAGAAAATGTAATGCTGAGAGCAGAGGTGAGACAGAGAATGAGGGGGAGAGAGATTGGCTGGCTTTGAAGATGGAGAAAGAGGTCATGAATCAAGGAATGAAGGTAGTCTCTACAAGCTGAAAAAAGCAAGGAAACAGATTTTTCCTCAGAGCCTCCAGAAGGAACCAGCCTTGTCAACACTGTGACTTTAACCCAGTAATAGTGATTTTGGACTTCTGATATGCAGAACTGTAAGATAACAAATTTGTGTCCTAAATTTGTGGTGATTTCTTACAGAAGCAATAGGAAACAAATACAGATGTATATGGTAAACCTTATGGCAACCATAAAAAAATATTTTTAAAGATATATAAATAATAAATCAGTGGAAGAGATAAATTGAAATCAATAAGAATTCTTGATCAGCATAAGAGAAGGTAGAAAAAGAAAAAAGAAACATAGAATAGATGGAATAAATAGAAAACAGCTAGCAAGATGGTAGACTTTGTGGCAACCATATCAATAACGACATAAATGTGAGTGGCCTAAACACACCAGTTAAAACACAGAGATTGTTAGATTGGATAAAATAAAAAGTAAGGCCAAATCATAAGGTGTCTACATGAAACCTACTTTAAATATAAAGGCATATATAGGTTAAAAGTAAATGAATGGAAGAATTTATACCATGCAAATACTATCTAATAAAAATTTGGAATATATTAATATCAAAGAAAGTAGACTTCAGAACAAGAAATACTGTTAGAGATAAAGAGGATCATTACATAATAATACAGGGTACAATTTTCCAAGAGGACAATACAATTCTAAATGTGTATTTATGTACCTAACAACAGAACTTCAAAATACATGGAACACAAAATGAAGAAACTAAAAAGAGAAATAGACAAATCCACAATTATAGCTGGAGATTTCACCACTTTTCTCTTAGTAATTGATTGAATGTGTGGACAGAAATTCAGTAAGGGTTGAGAAGATCTGAACAACACGGTAAACCAATTACATCTAATAGGTATTTAGGGAACGCTTCACCAAGAAAAGCACCATATACTTTACTTTCAAGTGTACATGAAACATTCACTAAGGTAGAATATATGCTAGACGAAAAAATAAACCTTAAATTTGAAAGAAGTCAAAGTATTTTTTTGGACAATAACAGAATTAAACTAGAAATCAAAAATAGAAAGATATCTGGAAAATCCCCCAATATTGGGAAATTAAACAACATACTTCTACAGAACCTATGTGTCAAAGAAGAATGTCAAGGGAAATAAAACATATTTCGAACCAAATGAAAATAAAAACTACAACATATCAAAACTCTGTTTGTACCTAATAGCAATTCTTAGAGAAAAAATTACAGGGCTAAAAGCTTATGTTAGAAAAGAAGAAAATTCTAAAATCAACATTGAAGCTTACACCAGAATAAACCAGTAAAAAGAGCAAACTAAATCCAAATAAACAGAAGGAAATAATAAATATAAAATCAGATGCCAATAAAATTGAAAACAGAAAAACAATAGAGAAAATCAATGAAACCAAAATTGTTTCTTTGGAAATATCAGTGATATTGCTAAATCTCTAGTTAGACTGTCCAAGAAAATAAGAGAGAAGATACAAATTACCAATATTATTAACAAAGGAAGAGATATCACTACAGTCCCCACAGACTTTAAGAGGATAGGTGTATAAGGCATCCCCCAAAATAGTCCCCAATGATCAATACCTCTTGGTATTCATTTTCATATGTAATTCCTTTCCAGTGAGTGTTGGCTGAACTTATTGATTTGCTTCTAATGAATCGGATATTCCATACATGATGGGATATGTCTCCTGAGATTACATCGTAAAAGGACTGTGACTTCCATTTTGGCCCTCTCTCTTGCTTTTTCCTGAACTGCTTGTCCTGGGGAAATCCAAACACTATGTTGTGAGACAGCTTTGCAGAGTCTCACATGGCAAGGAACTGAGGCCTGCTAACAACCACCTGAGTGAGCTTGGAAGTGGATTCCCCCCACCCCCAGTTGAGTTCAGATGAATTCACTGTCCTGGCTGACAGCATACCTGCAACCTCATAAGAGATCACGAGCCAGAGACATCCAGATAAGCCAGGCTCTTTCTTTGACTTATGGGTTCCTGACTCACAGAAACTGTAAGAAAATAAATATTTAATGTTTTAAACCTCTGTCTATAATTTTTAGTGTAATTTTTTACCCATCAATAGATAACTAATTCAATAAAGGGATAATAGAAACAATTCTATCCCCATAAATTTGATAATGTAAATTAAACGCAATAATTCCTTGAAAGATACAAACTACCAAAACTCTGTCAAGACGAAATAGCTCACCTGGATGATTCTGTATCTATTAAAGAAATTGAATTCATAGTTAAAAATCTTATACATACACATGTACACACACAAAACAGGCTCAGATAGCTTCATTGATAAATACTACCAAATATTAACAGAAGAAATAATACCAATTCGCCAAAATCTCTTCTAGAAAATATGAGGAAGGAATATTTCCTAACTCAATTTATAAGACCAGTACTATCCTAATATCAAAACCATAAAAAGACGTTACAAAGAAAGAAAACTACAGATCATCATGGACATAGACATAAAAAATCCTCAAAAAAATTTAGCAAATCAGATCCAGCAATGTATACAAAGAAAAATACATCATGACCAATTTGGGTTTATCCCAGGAATACAAGGCTTATTTATTACAAAATCAATCAATATAATGCATGACATTAACAGACCAAGTAGAAAAAAAGTCATTTCAATATATATAGAAAAATATTCAACAAAATTCAGCATCCTTTTATGATATAAACTCGCAGCCAGCTAGGGATAGAAGGCAACTTATCCTAATAAAAGGCATCTCCCAAAACCTACACATAACATCATACTTGTTGGTGAAAGACTAAATGCTTTCCCCCTAAGATCTGTAACAAGGCATGGGTGTCATTTTTCACTACTCCAATTTAATGTTGTGCTATAAAGTCTAGCCAATGCAATGCGCAAAAAAAAAAAAAAAAAAAAAAAAAAAAAAAAAGAATTAAAAGTATACAGATCAGAAAAGGAGAAATAAAACTCTATTTACAGATAACATGACTGTCTGTTTAGAAAATCTCAAAGAATCTACAAAAAAGCTCCTAGAACTAATAAATGGGCTTAACCATGTTGCAAGATACAAAGTCAATACCAAAAAAAATAAATTGTATTTCTATATATGAGCAGCAAGCAATTATAATATGCAATTAAAAAGACAATACTGTTTATGATGGCACTAACAAATTTAACATGTAGGTATAAATCTAAAGGAAAAAAAATACTGTATCTATAAGATGAAAACTATGAAAGATTGATGAGAGAAGTAATAATGGTAATAATAATTTAAAAAGCTTAAATAAATTGAAAGATATACTGTGTCCATGGATTAGAAGACTCAATATTGTTAAGATGTTAATTCTCCTCAATTTGATGAATTCAGCTAAAATCTCAATCAAAATTCTAGCAGAGTTTTTGTAGTATTGACAAGCTGATTCTAAAATTTATGCTTTCTCAAACATCTGGTGATCTTTGGATAGCTTTTAGAATGTGACAGTAAGGCTCTAAAAAGCTCACTGAAAACTCTGTGTGTTTTGCTGAGACTTGTCCAGTAGTGGGCTTCACTTCAGCATGACAGGGCAGTGCCAAAGTCCAGTATTTGCTGGGCTTTTCTCTGGGTTGTTCAATTTCTCTTGTGAAGGATCATTCAGTTTCTGATTTAGTAGGTGCTGATAAGTGCTGAGCTGTCAACGTTCTATTCAAATGAACTGGGAAATAAAATTGGGTGAGGGAGAGTGTCCCTATTTAATGGGTAAAATTTCACTTAATTTTTTATTCACTCATTTTTATTGCAACACCTCACCTCCACTTTCAGTTGGTTAGTTTCTTTAATCTGGGAGTGCTGTAGTTCAATTTTCCCATGAAAAAACCTTCTGGTTTCCCGATAGAAAGTAATAAGCACACAGTTGGCAGGCAAACTGAAGAGAACTTGGTTTTAACTCCATTTTATGCTCACATTAAATTTGCCACTGTACTTTCATCCCATCTTTATCTCCTTCAGAAGTAAATGGTGCTTCTCTCCTGAGCCTTATATAGGTTTTACCTGAATTAGTATGCTCTGTATAGGCATCATCTGTACTGGTATTGAAGTTTAAGCTCGCTTTGCTCTTTTATGTCAAAAACTATGCCTTTGTCCTTTTTCTATCTTGCAAATGTTTGTGGATATCTTTCGTTGACTGTTGCTTTCTTTTCTACTGATATCTATTTACTGTCGTTTTAGTAGAGTTGCATGAGGCAGCATAAATAAACATTTCAACTCAAGCCATTTAATTTTATGTCTGAGGTTGATATGATTTTCCGATAATTATTGATCATTCTATTTTTTCTTGTTAATTGTCAGTTCATAGCCTTTCCTCATTTTTTTCATTGGGTTGTGTGTGTATGTGTGTGTTTGTGCATGCATGTGTGAGTGTGTGTTATTGTTTGTAGGCAATCTTTACTTCTCGGGAGGTAAAAACAATTGGAACAAGAAAGTTGAGTCAGTAAGATACAAACATGACATCCCTTTGACTAAGAAAAGCGAGATACATTAATCACTAATCTTTTGTTATTAAAAAAGACTTCTACAGCTCCTACTATATATTACACACTCCACTAAGTGGAAATTGCAAAACTGAGCTTTTGTTTTTCTCAAAGTACAAGATTCAATTTCTGTACCCCCTTAGATGCACTAAGCCCCGTCTGTCTCCCTGGCCTCAGTCGTTTACCTTGCTTCTGGCCTGAGCATCCCTATGTACAATTTTGATTGATTGCATTGAATCTGCAGACCAATTTATGGAGATTTTAATTCTTACAATTGTGTTTATGAAACAATGAGCATTTACCATTTTAACCACTTTTAAGTGTACAGTTTAGTGGCATTAAATATATTAACATTTTTGTGCAACCATTACTACCATCCATGTCCAGAACGTTTTTCATCTTCCCAAACTGAAACTTCCTTTCAATTAAACAATAACTCCCCGTTTTGTCCATACTCCAGCCCCTGACAATCACAATTCTACTGTCTGTCTCTATGAATTTGACTACTCCAAGTATCTTATGTAAGTGGACTCATACTGTATTTGTCCTTTTATGATTGGCTTATTTCACTTAGGATATCTTCACTGTTTATCCATGTGGTAGAATGTGTCAGATTTCCCTTCCTTTTAAGATTGAATAATATTCCACTGTATGTATGTATATGTGTATATATATACATATATATATATATAGACACACCGCATTTTGTTTATCACTTCATCTGTCAATGGGGCCTTGGGTTGCTTCCTCCTTTTGGCTATTGTAAATAATACTGCTATGAAAGTGGGTGTACAATTATCTGTTCAAGACTGCTTCCAATTGTTTTGGAAGTAGAATTGCTGGATCATATAGTAATTCTATTTTTAATTTTTTGAGGAACTGCCATATCGTTTTCCATAGTGGCTGCACGATTTTGCATTCCCACTAGCAGTACACAGGGGTTCCATTTTTCCACATCCTCACCAGCACTTGGTATTTTCTGTATTTTTGATAATAGCCATCCTAATGGGTGTGAAGTGATATCTCATTGTGGTTTCAATTTGCATTTCCCTAATGATTAGCAACGTTGAGCATTTTTTCATGTGCTTATTAGCTAGTTGTATATCTTCTTTGGAGAAAAGTCTGTTCAAGCCTTTTGCCCATTTTTAAATTGAGTTGTTTGTTTTCTTGTTTTTGTCAAGTTGTAGGATTTCTTTATTCTGAGTATTAACCCCTTATCAGATATATGATTTGCAAATATTTTCTTCCATTTTGTGAGTTGCCTTTTCATTCTGTTGATGTGTCTTTTGATGTACAAAAGTTTTTAATTTTGATGCAGTCCAATTTATCTATTTTTCTTTTATTGTTATCCTTTTTGTGTCATATCCAGGAAATCACTGCCAAATCTAATGTCATAAAGGTTTTTCCCTATATTTACTTCTAAGCGTTTTATAGTTTTAGGTCTTACATTTAGGTCTTTGATCCATTTTGAGTTAATTTTTGTATATGGTGTAAGGTAAGGGTCCAACTCCATTCTTTTGCATGAAGATATCCAGTTTTCTCAACACCATTTGTTGAAACATTCATTAAGTTTTAAAAAATTCTTTGACAGCATATCTTCAAATATTGCTTCTGTCACATACTCTCTTACCTATTTTCTTTTAGAATTTTTAACAATATTCAATATACCTCTTACTCTTTTCTGATTTTTTATCCCCTTTTTTTCTCTGTGCTTCAACATGGTGTTTTACACTAACTTATATTCTAGTTTACAATGATCTTTGCTGTGTCCAATCTAAAAAACCTACCCATTAAGCTCTTAAATTTGCTTACTGTATTTTTTTGGTGAGGAAGATTCACCCTGAGCTAACATCTGTTGCCAATCTTCCTCTTTTTTTGCTTGAGGAAGATTAGCTCTGAGCTAATATCTGTGCCACTCTTCCTCTATTTTGTATGTGAGTTGCTGCCTCAGCATG